CCCCCCCCACACAAGAGACCCAACCCAGAGCAACACCCCACTCCCACATGGGAGAGCACACTGGTTCTGGGGGGAGTGGGGTTCTGGCCCCACATGCAAAAGCTGACCTGTTCCAGAGGAGCTGTGCCCCGCTACCAGGGGAGCAAAGCGTAGGGCAACAGAGACAAAGACTAACCCACTGACCAAATCCTGGATGAGGACAATACCTGGAGAGAGAAGGGAGCAGCCAGATTCCGTACTGTTGACATTAAATCCAACAGTTCATTTGAATCCAACCTTGTCACCTGCCTCTGGCAGAGAGCAGAGGGTTGATATCATTCCCCACATCTACAACCTGGAGCAAGCACATGCCTGGCTTGGACATTAACCACATCAGAGGGGGAAAAAGAGGGGCCTCTATTGCAAGGAGGGTACCTCAAAGAGCCCTAGGGCCTAGAGCTAGGCATAGAAAATCATGTCTAGCTAGACCCGAAGACAGCAGATAATGGAAAGAAACCATTCATTCAACAATATGGGAATTTTCCTTTGGCTCAGTATTTTTTAAATTGTTCTACTCTATATTATTTTTACTTTTCCTTCATTGGGTTTTTTTCAGGGTTTGGGGTTTTCCTTCTCCCTTTTTTCTTTCCTTTTAATTTTTTAATCTTTTAATTTTTCCCCTTCCAACTTTTTTTCTCTTCCTTTGTATCTTTATTTTATCTCCTGCTGTTTGTTTGTTTGTCTGTTCAAGGCAAACAAGGCTGTTCGTTTGTTTGTTTGTACTACATGCTGGCTTTGAACTCACTACGTAGTCCAAGCTGGCCTTGATATCTCCAGTTTTTGCTTGTCTTTTTTTTTCTTTTTCTTGTTTGTTCTTTCCAACAACTGTTCTCTATCACTCTTACTTTCCTTTTACTCATCAATAGGACCTCTTCTCTTACTCTGAATCGTCCTTCTTAAAACCTATCAATTAATTTTTCAAATTTTGCTTTTTTCATTCTCCAGTTCCTGACCTCTTCCAGCTTTACTAGTATACCTGCTAGCTTTATGGATCTCTAGTTAGTCAATTTTATGTGACTTCTGTTGAATACTGGGCTATCGTTCATAGAGGTAAAATTGTTCCATTTAGTAGCTGTATACTATACTATCAAAAGTAGGTCAATATTTGTTATTTTTTAGTTTATATACTACAATTATAGATCTCTTTTCTACGGGCAAGTGTAGCACTTTATTAATCCTTAGGTTTTGTCAATATTCAGTTTGTACTGTATCTAATGCTGTAATTGATGCTGATTTTATCACCATAGCCAAGGTGATGCAGCTGTTACTAATACGTGATTTTATTGAAATGCCAATTCCCATCTCAAGTAAATGGAATTGGTTGGATTCTGGGACAGAGATAAAAAAAAAAACAGCAGTTAGTTATGCCCAGAGGATATCACTGGAAATAGATATTAACTAAAGAGATCTCCATACTAGAAATAAAACTTTCCACTATGATAAACACACAAAACAAACAAACAAAGATAGAAGCATGAGAAAACAAGACAACCAAACTTCCATCTCACCCAAAGCTGATCCATGGGGCATTGAAGGGAAGGAAAACAAAAGCCTCACATACAAATTATTTAAAATAGTATCAGGGTAGGTAACAAAAGAGTTCAGTAAGATATTCTGCAAGCTCACAGGAGATATAAGTAATAAGATATTGGGCCAATTAAGCAAAATCATCAGTGACTCAAAAGAAGGCACTAATAAATAGAAAAACTAAACAAAGCAATGAAAAAATTCAAGACCAGCATAAAAAAGAATGAGAGTTCACAAAAGGGCTCCAAATAGTTTCAGAAGGTTAAAAATTCTATGGAAAATATAGGCTCAGGAGTGACCAAGGTGAGGACACAGTCTCAGAACTAGAAGACAAGACTGTTGTCAATGACAAATTTATGAGATACCATAGTTACAAACAAGAGAAAATGAAAAATGGGTCAAGTAGTGCCCAGATGACACAAAAACTATTCATCCGAGATTAATTGGAATTAGTGAAAAATCAGAAGATAGGACAAATAGCATAAAAACCTGTTTACTGAAATAATAGCTGAAAACTTTCCAAGCAAGGTAAAAGAATTTAACATACAGTTAAATGAGGGATATATAATCCCAAATAGCCATATCAGAAAAACACCTGTACACAACACACCATGGACAAAATTTCAGAAGTCCAACACAAGAACAGAATCTTAAAAGCAGTTAGAGAAAAGCAATGAATCACTTATAAAGGAAAATCCATTAGAATTATCACAAACTTCTCAACACAAGCACTAATGGCCAGGAGAGCTCAGAGTGAGTTATTTCAGCCCTAAAAGAAAACAATTTCAATCCAGGCTGACATGTCCTGAAAAACTATCATCAAAAT